TATTATAACCAAAAAATAATATTTATTCTGAATTTTATTATGTATTAATATAATAAATAATAGCAAAGCTAGTACCAAGATACATATTATGATACGATATTAACAATGAATAAAGCTACATTAGAAAATTATCATAAATCTCAAAATAGTAATAGTGCGATATCTCACATTATTAAACAAGTGTCAAATAAAAAAATTCAGATCTCTCTCTGTCAATTACTAAAAATAGTAAAACCTGAGATTCAGCAAGATATTATAAACTCGATAGCAAACCCAGATATTTCTTGGAGAAATCGTACACTATCTGAGGCTAAAAGAAAAAAAACAATTTTTAACAATACCGCATCTAAGTCCTCGTCCGAATCTGGGTCTGGCTCTGAATTCTCTTATGATAATGAAGATTTTACTGTAGATATGTAAAAGTGAAGAAGCGCAATTAATCTTGATCATAGATATGAAATTGTCTTGCTTGCTTATAAAGAACTCCTCTTTTTCTATAATTGACTACAACATAATTTTGCACAGGAGAAGTATGATTATCAGATGAATGACATAGACATTCTCCAGCAATTGTATAAGCATGGGCCATATTCTTAGCCTCATGTGCTACTGCACCATAAACTGCTTCTAATTTATGTAAATATTTAGGAATTAAAACATAATCTTTTAAGAATCTATTGAACCATTTAACTCCTGGCTTACTTGGATTACCCATTCATCCAGATGATATATTATGCTGAATCCAAGTGAGTAGTTCTTTGGCTCGTTCTTGATTCTTTTCCATAGATCTAAATTTTCTAGGAATATTTGGCTGACCTCGGTTCTTCATATAACCCGGCACTCCAGTATCTATAATGCATAAAGTTTTAAGTTCAGCAGGATGAATACAAAGCATCACTATAACATTAGCAAGAGCCTGATAATCAGGTAAAGTTTTAATATTATATGCATCTAATCTTTCTTTGACTGATTCTAATATAAATTCATCTAGATAATCGATACGTTTAGCTTCAGCTTTTTTTGATTGACACTCTGGATTTTGTTGGCATCTTCTGTAATATTTGGAAATTTTGTAACCTCAATTATCTCAAGTGATGCATTAAGGTTTCTTAATTCTCTACGAAGACGAGTGAGATGTGATGAGCCAGCATTAGCATTTTTTGCTGATAGGGCTAAGGCATAAGCTTCAGCTCTTACATCTCTAATGCTAAGCTTATCCCATAAAAGCCGATGTGCCATATCTCCGATAGTTTCTTCCTCCATTCCTTTCGAGGGTTTGTTAGAAATTGCAATATTTACGTCTTTATTGCAGGGCAATGGCTCTTCGAATGTACTTCCATTTTTCTGGGTAAAGAATAAATCATCCACTTGTTTTCTACTAAATCCATATCTATTCTGTAAGATTCGTTTAGTTATCTCTCTGATAATCTCTTCTTCTAAATCTTTAGGAGGTGAAGCTATAGCTATTTTGCAACTACCCTTGATGATATTTATAATCTTAACCTTACTACTTCTCTGATTAGGTATTAATATACTTACCTAATCACTGCTAAATTTAAAACCATTTCGAAGACGTCGTCGACCTTGATTCCGCTTTCTATCATCGATAAGGTTTTCAAGAAATTCTGAAGTATATTTACTGAGATCAGACATACTCATCTTGGGGCTGAGATTGTATTTTTTAACGATTTTAGTCACGATAACTGACATGATCTAATGTTATAGTAGGTCGAGTAGGTTATGAACAGTTCTTTAGGTTATATACACTATAAAAATATTTTTTAAAATCGAAATTAATTATCCGTGGATAGCTATACCCAAAAATTGAATGGGTATGGTTATTGTAATTCTATCAGAAAATAGACGCGAACAAGACACGAGTTCGATCAAAAGTTTTAATCTATATATGCCAAGTATATGATACACATCAATGCTTTGGGTCAAATCTGTCGATTTGAAAGTTACCAATATATAGGATATAATGAAAAAAAAATTATAGCTTTGAGTTGTGGCGACTCAGGCTATATTGCATATCAAGTTACTAGATAACATGTTTTATTTTTTGTTATCTTCGATAACTGCTTCGCTAATATATTTCTCAAATGGTGATGGAGGAATCAAAAGTCCTTCTTCTTCCCAAAGCATATATCCATCACGTATCAATTTATTATATGTTGGTCTATTGATTGTAATCATGCGATTTGTTTTGGAGTTATAGATTTTTGGCTTTCTCCAACAATTAGTCAATTTTGATAATTGCTCAGCAGTAATCATTTCTTTGTTGTATTCCGGCTCTTTAGTGTATAATTTATACATTGTTTTAGTGTGGTATATAGTGTCAATATATGTTCGATTATAATATTACAAAATAATTTGGAAAAGTTTAAATTGATTTTTATATACTATACATGAAAATGTGAGTAAAAAATATGTTAGTATTTATACAGAGTTTTATAGAATATGAGAGGTTATAAGCAATACTTCGAATAGTATCTCCAACACATAATATATTATTATAACTTGAAAAAATTTAAATTGGTTTTATATTAAATATATTTGCATAAAAAGTGAAACAGGTTTTATACATTATACATTAAAACACTTTGAATGAGGTGCTCAACCAATCAATACATTAAAAAAGATAGTTTGGGGCATTCAACCTGTCCATATGTTAAAAGAGATGGTTCGATTTGTGGAAAAGGTTGTTGGCGGGACATAGGGTGTTTATTGCACTGGAAATTATATGATACAAATATAGCAAAATTTCCTTGTGGGATCTGTGAAAAACTAACAATTTCTGGGACGGGGTATTGTCCTAAGCACACAAAGAGAGTTTATTTTCGAAATTGGTATAAGAAACAAAAGGTGCAGAGAATAGAAGCTGATGCGTAATTATACTCACTTTTGCCGAAGGTAGACACTATATAACTATAGATATTAATTTTAAGTGTCACAAAAATGGTCTTCGTAATAGATTTTTTTACAATTATCAATTTTAAGCGTCACAAAAACCCCCTTTATAAAATATGTCACAGACCATTACTAAATAGATACATATATTAACAGATATCAAATAGGTCCTGAGTATTCTGTAAGATAGAATTGGGAGAAGTTTCTATTTCATCGGGCGAGATTTACTATACCTATATCGCCAGCATGGCGGACATTCGATTTGATTGGCTTGAAGATCTCTGAGTTACACAACATAAAAAAAAATTTTTAAAGTAACCCTTACTATATAAAACTACATTGTCAATTAGCAACTTGTGGCTTTACATAATAAAATTTTTTTAAACTATATTATTGTATTCTTTAATGCTTCATATGTCTTCAGTAAAAAAAGATCAGTATAGATCATTATCCCTAAAAACTTTACTTAGAGAGCAAATTTAGACAAGTTCTATATATTTAACAAATTAGTTAACAGTTAATTAGAAACTTAAAAAAATTTTATTATATTAACAAAGTTAGAGCATTCTCAAGCAGCTCCCTTAGTTAAAATTGTACCCATCAAGAAAATCTCTACCGGATATTATTGGAATACCTGGTACTCAAATTATTCAAGAATGCGAAATGCTAATCTTAAATTTTAGCCAATTAAAAAAATGGTTTGTGTCTTCAAATTTTATTTAGAAATGGTTCAGTTTATTAAAACTAAACAAAATTTTGTTTTCGAACTAGTGAGTGGCATGCTTGAGAATATATTACTTGAAAAAACATTCATTTACTTCTAGGCATGAACCACCTAGCTCTTACTGAATTCTAGTAATTCTAAATAATTTTTCGTCTTTGAAAAGTTATAGCTTGAATATAAAAAAATTTTAAATTATCTTGAATTGATTATA